GTCAGTCTCACGGATTGTAATCAATATATAAAGTGTTTATAACACATCTCAACCAGATAATCAGAACTAGAACATTCTGAACTAACACGATCCCGTATTTACTTTTGGTTTAGCTACTATTTTTGCCTTCATTTGATTTTAAGACCAGTTTGTTTGCTTTTCTGACGCTGTGATAAAAACCTCGACCTACGCGTCTACATTTTTAGATTTGACGTAGGAATCCTTATGGAAATTATTGAACTAAACAATGTTGCAATTCGATTCAATTTGTTGCTACCGGCGGCCTTGGTTTCTGGGATATTTGTTTACAAAGTTTGCATTCAGAAGCCTATTATCAGGTAGACACCAAGACATGCCCAGAGCAATGGTACATTTTCATTAAATGCTTAATATTGAAGTCTGCAAACTGTCTTAGTATGCAAGTTTATCGTCCGTTTTATCATTCTTTGAAATAATTTTGGGTCATGGCTGCGTCTTTATGTCAGAATAGAATACAAATAATTTAAACCCGCAGTTTGGATTTATCTTGTCTGAAAGTGAGTCTTATTGCTATAACTGCGGAGAAAACTGTGTAAAGAAAAATACTCATTATCCTGATCGAGGTACAATTTACCTGTACATATGTGTGGATATATACTAATAAAGGAACTTTTATTGCTTTTTAATTATATTTTTATGTGAAGAGTGAAACGTAGTTGAGTTGTGAACACTGTTGTGGTAGCCGTTAAGTTGTGAACACTCTTGTAGTAACCGAAAATTCATTCTTGATGCTGGACTGATGAAATAGGCCTTTTGCACGTTTCGATCAGTTTCTAAAAATTTACCTCCAGGCATCGTTTACAGCGGAATAATTATTTTGCCTTTGCCTGTATTGTTTCGATGTGGGTATTCTTTTCATCTTTGAATTCTTTCATGATAAAAAAAAAAAAAAAATTAATAAAATTTGCCGTTCCAGAAGTGAGGCTCGGGAGTAAAAATAGCTAGTGTGACGGAAACATAAGACTATCAATTCGAACACCAAATTGCAATAACTTCTGTTAGGAATTTGCTAGAACCATTGGTAGTAAGCAATCGTATTTTGATGTGGTCATTGTTGATTAATTTTATTCTTTCTTGTTCAACCTCACTGATAGAAACACTAGTCAAGGTAGTAAACCACGCTACGACTACGGAAATATTAGAAGCATTTTGCTTGGAGATAAATCATACCTAGATTTGAAATAAGGAAATACATGCAAAGTGGATTTTGTAAACGCTGTCAATTTTGGTTGCCGCGGCAACTAAAACTAATAAGTGACCTCATCTTTCCTATTTCTTAATCTTTTTCGCACAGGTAAAGATATTTTCTTTTGTTTAAATTTTATTTTATTATTCATTGCTTACATTTTCCAATTAAGAATTATTAAAAGTCATTGCATCAATCGATCAAACAAACGAATGATTTGATTGGCTCCCTGCCATGAACTTTTCAGAATAATCTTGAATAGACGTAAGGCTGTCACTTGTGGATGGTCTGAAACTATTTTAACCATGAATTACTGAAACAGTGACAATTTCCTTTTAAAGTATAAACTGCAACCAGTCTTTCATTCGTGACAAGCCTGATTCCCGCTGTGCATCGAAAATCAGTTCAATAGACCAAATCATGCCAATGGCAATGGGAATTGAAATTATCAAACAAATAGTTACACCTAAAAGCGAATTGTTTGGTCGTTTTACGCCTAACGACTCACCCCATTGAGACACTCTCTATCAAATTCTGATCTGCACTGTTTTGTATGCTTAGATGTAATCAGGTTTTGCTCTAAAAACTAGTCTGAAAAGAGAAATAAACAAAGGGAAATACGAAGAAAAGCGAAACAAAGCAAAACGGAAGGGAAACGAGATGTCGCTTTAGCAAACTCTCTTAGAAGGTTCATACTCTACCAAATTCTGATCTCTTCTGTTTTGTGAACTAAGTTTTGACCAGGTTTTTGTTTTCATTTTTATAACTTAACACATCAAAACCTGAAGAAGGCTGGTTTGCGGCCAGCAGAAATATTGTTTTAAATATACCATGTTGTGACAGTCCTACAGTAGTCTTTGACTTCTCATCGTTTTACTTTTCAAGTTTGGTTGATTAGATCTCCTGTCAGATCCAATGTTCAATCAAGGATGCTCTTCGTTCACGGCTTCGCAGTTCATTTAGTTTGTAAGCCAAAGTTGTCATACAATACAAACTTTGTTCTCGTTCTTCCTTCTTGAGAAATGGTGAATGGTGTTTTCTTGTTTTTACACTCCGTCTGAAATCATATAAAGATATTGTTTATAAGAAGTTCCAAAGGAAACTTCTGCGCGTCATTTAGCATGAGTGACAGCCGGTTAAAAACTGGAACTGCTAAGGTACAACAAATTCTGGATAAATTGCAGGAGCAGAGTTTCTATTAGTCACTGTGAGCATTTGTACTTAAATTGTTCCACACTAGTTTCAGTACTCTCTTGGCGAATTCCCAATCATTTGTAGACTGTTTCTATGGAAAGTGAACGCAGTGTTTTCATCCTTTTTGCTTCTTAGATGAGCTCAAGCTGGTTTACCCGACTCACAATTCCTCTTGAGTTGTATGATTGGTGAAAATAGTAAAAATATTAATCCAAACAGAGCGTGCGCTGCAGAGATTTTTGGTATAAGACTTGTTAGAGGAACCTTGGCCTTGAGTCTAAGAGTTGCTTGCAGTGTTGCAATGTTTCCGACAAAAAAGGATAGCTTCCGTCAGAGGGATCAAATAAGTAAATTTCAATTAAAGGGCTTTCAGTAGTTTCACAAAGTGGTCTCTCTGTATTTTCACAATTTTTGTTGTTTCGAGATGTATATTCCGGAATGTCTTTTAATATAGGCAAACTACACGTAAAATTCAACGTGAGTAACAAAGGAATCAAGCTTGAAATAGCTGCGTGACATTACGCTTAAGATAAGAACCCAAATTAGAGTAATTTCTTCACCTGTCGATAAACTAATACAAAGTGCTTTGAAGGCACACGGAAATCAGGTATGGAAGATAATTTCACGCAATGTAGAATTCTTCATTTATTCGAAGTAAAGATGTAAAGTAGGACTAGATTAGTTGTCTGGGTAGTCCTGTGATGTGATGTACAGGGTACTTGGGTAACTTCTGCTTGATCTGTCGGTTTTATTACGTAGTTGGCTGGTTGAATTTTAGCATAAATCAATGATGTGGACCACCTGATATCTATCAACGATGTGGACGGCCACCTGATACCTTTCTCCGTTTCCGTGTTAAAAAGGTTTTTCACATTTTACAGCCGGCTGTGTGGTAAACTTCAAAGAAAAAGGAAACATGACTGACTCGTTTAATTTTTACGGGCGGATGCGAGTCTCACTGAATGCCTATGTTACGCAAATTAAAGCATCTTTCGTATAATTTAACCAAGGAGGATTGAAGAAAGGACTCCTGTCCTTCTGATGTGTGATCTAAAGTTTATTGGTGAAATATTTTGTGTGATACCAATAATTGGTTGGTTGGGCTTGCCTGCGGGTTACTGTGGAGGAGCATATGTGTTTGATTTTGACAGTCAGGCCACGTTCTGAAAATTGTTTTTCTTTTGTAGTTGCTATTACATGTAGCCTCGGGGCTTGTGCAGATTTTTTCCCTTCAAAATGAGTCAAAATAAAGTATTTCGCTGTAAAAGCTCAAAAGATTAGGTTTCATATCGGGAGATTACATACGATAACTCATTGTGTAAAAGGATCCATTTGTAAACAAATTAAAATTTCGATATGCGATAAAATTAAACTTCGTCCGTGACTTTCTATCTCAAAGGTCTTTTGGTCAAATAGTGTCTTTCAAAGCCCAAAACCCAGGCTTCTTTCTACCAATGCAATGAGTGTCAGTCTTTAAGTTTAAGAATAATTCTCAACAAAACATGCCAAAGCGCCATTCAATCCATTTCTCTTTTATGCCAAAATTAAGCCTCAAATCAATCTGGTGGTTCTTCATTTATGATATCGTGAGAAGCCCAGCTCAAGGCGATTTTAAATTATCACTCACGTACCTGACAGATAGCACTCACGATAACAAATTCTCAAACGCTTACTTTAATCGCATTTTCTTCTATATCCGTTTTTCGGCTTTAATATCTGTTCAGTGTTGATTAAATGAAAGTGGATCGGAATCACTGAGTTTGGACTTAAAATGTTTTAGCCCGAGCAGATAAGCAGGAATTGCCACCGGATTGTCTAGTATCTAGTTTGATTCTATACAAGGTATTTTGTGAGAGAGCTTTAATAGGATACAATACACTGAAGTGAAAGTGCTTTTCTTTAGGCTTAAGCCTTTCTAACAGCAAAATAGAAAATTTATGTCCATTAACTTTACGCAACTCAGTAAACATAGCACTTGCACAATGCAAGAAGCCTGTTTGGTACAGGAATAAATTTGACCCGACGACAAAGAGTTCGAAACGTCACTCGTTACGGCTGTAATAGAATGAATTGAAGAAATTTAGCGTCTTTTCAGTTTTATAAAGGTCACGTTCCCTTGATTGGTTTCCGAAGTTTGGATTGATGGTGAGAATAATTAATTTCGCGACCATAGAAAAAAATCGAATCAGCCCTCAACATGTAACCCTCTCGGCGCCACGTTGCAAATTGAACGCGTCTCAAATTTTGCAGATACACCATATTGTAGCGTTATAGTGGGTGCTTTGATTACGATCTCTGTTGATGTAATAAGCAATGACCTCCAAACCGCACAATTTGTGGGGTGTTTTAATGCGCAGTTGACTCCGGTGAGGTTGTTAGAAAACAACCAAAATGGTGCTAACATGAGCAATACTTCTTTTGGGGGGTCAACAAATATGAGATTGAAATTGCTCGTTTTTCACAACCAATTGCAAGTTGTTTTTAAACTTACAAGTAAAACCACACACACAGATGATCATTATTTTTTCGTATCACTGTTTATGAGTGAACTGGGTAAATTTGTGTGTGTGCATGAAAGAAATTCCGTCAAGTTCTTTATAAATATTGTATGAATGTTGTTTGTTGGTTTGTCGCTTTACTGTTTGTCAATCAAGTACGAGATAAATTTAAGTGTTTCAGGTTTAATTTGACTCGCAGAATGGAGCATTTTAAAACCGATGCAAGCGCGTTAGTTTACTTGAAGACAAGAAAGTCCATTTGAGACGAACGGAACTTACCAGAAAGTGAAATTATGTCCGAGTTTGAAGTTCACTATCCGTTCTGCGCACGCGCTGAGGTATTTAGGGAGGCACAAGGTCAGCGTTTTACGTCACCTAAGCTCATTGTTTTGCTTTTCAGAACATTAAACTCAAATGTTAAATTTATGGCTCGAGGATAGATAAGCTTTTAAACTCGACCAGAAGTGCTTCAGGCGTTTGCCACAGTGCGCTCGTGACTCGATCAACTTTTCTCTGTTAGTCGCTGTTATCGACTGTGAATATTGCCAAAGGTCTTCGTTGTAACAACTTTGTAAGTTTTTCGTCATTGGCAGTCTCGTAACGATAAAACTTGTCTAACGTACCTGGGGAGTCCTCAAACGATTGATAATGCGGTTTATACCGTTGATACTGCTTCACTTTCTCTGCTTCAACCCAGTTCACGCTCACTACTTCAAGAATGACAGCGACCAAGGTAAGACTTATGTGTTTCTCTGCTTTAAATGCAAAAAACCGACTTTTACTTAAAAAAAAAAACTTACTCATGGGAGACGCATTCATGTCTCCTTGTGAATTACCATTAGCAACTCGGGTTCTTCGAAAACAAAAGGTTTAAATAAGGTCAACTCTCATTATTCTTCAGTCCATTCGCTGTATTTTTAATCCCCTGCTTATAATAAGTTCGCGAGCTTTTAACGAGTTCTGGATTGCTTTTGATTACAGCATTCTCGGTTTCTAGTAAAATTCGGGCAAATATTCATTGCAGAAAGAGATTGTTAGAGTGCCTAAAACCGCATATGGTTATCCTTTTTAATCGTATCGTTACACATATAAATGTTTTGTTTAAAAGTTTATTTTATCCACTGTATCGTTTTCATCTTCACCAATATGTACAAATTTCAATCAGAACAAACCAGGCAACTCAAAGTTTTATAGAATTCAACAACTTAGGCACCTTGGATGCCTTTTTATCAAGACTTTGTTATTATGTAAGTCCATGGATGCATAATTAATTTAATTCGTCTCTTTGTCTTATTGCTATTGTATCATTGCTTTTTCTCAGAGTAGAGAAGTTACTTTCTGAAAACAAACGAGTTCCTATTATCTTATCAACCTTTGCTTTTCTTGGTTTAACCTTTCAAAACCGCCGCTCGTAAAACTGTTCTTTGGATCACGTTTAACAGCTATTAAATTTTCCTCTAAAACTGGTTGTTTTAGTAAGTTACGGTAGTTTGTTTTGAATTATGAGGTTGGTGAGAAATTTATGGCAGATACTGTCTCAAAATGATAAACAGACGTCTATCTCTGTGGCCTATGGTCAGAATGACTCGGAGTAATTTATCATATAATTCGATCAATGAAATCCTTCTGAGCTCGTAGATTTGCACGTACTAAGCACCTAAATAAACATAGAGGAAAACGTGAGCCTAGATCGCTAGAGTGGAAATAGAGTGTATCGGGAGAATAAACCCTGAACCCCGAAGAGCTTCACGCTGTTTATCTGCGCTGGTGCTGTGACAATAAACGAGCTTCATGGCAAATGACAAATTGATTGCTATGTCATTAACATTGTTGACAGCGTTTGTGACTATCGCCAGCAGCGTCGATGCAGTTCTTTAGCTAACTCCGTGCTGTTTTCAAATGAGGAAATAATCTATTCCGCGTTTAATTGCATTCGATGTTTCAAACTTTGTTTTCGTCCTGTCTGAAACTTATCCGCGTACAAATTATTAAGTTAAGAACTGATTCCGGGATTTATTTATACTGTTATCGTTGTCACGTTTGCAGGTTGCGCTAAAGCAAATCGGATTGTTACATGAAATTCTTATTGTCAACGTTTAATTATGAGTATATAGCACAACTTTCTAAAAAGCTTATTAAAACCTGAGTCTAAAATGCGAACTTATTTTCAAAAAAGTGTGGTTAATCTTTTAATCTTTTTTTCTTTTTCCAGAAACCCCTAATAGTCGGTAAATAGTATTGCTTGTGTGAAATTTTAATACAAGCCACTATATCTGTAATTTCATCTTTTTAGGTTATGTAATCGGATACATGTAAACGCTCTAGACTAATCTAAGGAAGAAAAAGCCATCCGCGGAAATAGATTTGGACAGTTTCTTTAAAATTTCTTGTTCAGTAAGTGGAATTTAAGTTTTTGGAGAAAAAAATCACCAAAGTATTGAAGGCTCAAGGTTCATTCTCCGAAATCGCTTGCCCTCCGAGCAAAGTCTCCTCGATCTTCCTAGATGAACATTTGAAAATCAAAAGTAGATTTGTTGTCAATAGAAATGCGATACTTTCAGGTTATTAACAATCATGTCCATTTCAAAAAAATGTCTTCCCGATTTTTTTTAGGAACATTGATAATGGGTAGGAGTCGTTTAGTTGACGTAAAATTATTAAAATTTGTTTTCCTTTGTTTTCTAGTTTTTTTTTTGGAACAAAAAGTCATTAGCTCTTTGTTAGTACGTAAGTAAATGCTACGATAATACAACTGCACGTTTTGCACAGAGTGCAAAACGTGATCTACTGTATAAAGACGTTTTTCAAACTGCATAAATAAAAAAGTTATTTTTGGTTCAAGACCTGCTCTTTAAGGCAAATGGTAATTTCTGGATTACGAACATGAGGCCATTTTCTCACGGTCCAAAGTGTCGAAATTCAATTCTAAAGACGCAAGTTAATTTCGGGCTGTTTATATGAAATTAGAAGTGCTGGGCGTTGTGAACAAGGTACCCGACAGTGGTAAATTTAAATTATTTGTTTTTACTTTGTAAACTGGTTAACCATTGTTTCTCGGCTGCGCCTATACTTTGACGACACTAACCCGGGAATTGAAAGAACATTGAAAGCGTGTTATGTTTTCTTTTTTTTTTTAAGTGAACGTTTTTATGTCTTTCCTCATGGGAGGCAATTGTCAGGAACGTAAATTTTCGTTATTAGTTTCCATATCCTTTTGTCTTCTCTTTTTCTAGCGTGCAGAACGTTTATGCGAAGTTTTGAAGAGTAAATAAAGGACGGAAAGTTGTCATTCTCTATTTCAAAGAATGGACAACTTTTACACGCAATCGTCAGATGGAATTTGATAATTTTGTGTTCTTTTTGTGCGTTTGCAGATTATTGGTAACAAGCAAAAGAGAGAAAAAGCTAAAAATTTGTCTTCTGTGTAACGCGCATAACGTGTGCCGTTGTTTTGTCTTATTTTTCAGTAATAACTGAGTGATTTGAATTGTTCTATTCCACAATGAATTTCCAGGTTTAGGGTTCTTATTCGGGCCACCGAAAAATTCGAGCTGGACGAGCTGTCAAGTTCGGTGCTTTAAGGGCCCTTTTACGTGCGCGGATCCTCGGTCGAACCCCAGCACTGGAGCTAACTCTTTACAAGCGATTCTACTCTGCCTAACAGAAGTGTAATACACTATGTGCCGAAAAGAAGTGCGTAACTAAATGTTACAAGAAGTTTCCCCACGGAAAGGTCATTCTTATGGCTTCAGGTTGTTTAATTGGGACCTATCTGAATGACTTATCGAGAAAGAGAGAGAGAGAAAAAAAAAAAATAAAAAAAAATAAAAAACCACACACGGGCACGTTATATGCTAATATAACAACGATCACGCACTGTTTAATCTGGAGCGCTTTTTGACAAAAATAGCCACAGTGTCTCGTATGCTTACTGAAAATCTCAAATAATTTGACATCAATAGGACTTTTACTCTGGCTCACGAATTTTCTATCCAAAATATCCGTCTATTAAAAGCTGATTTTTCTGAACTCATTTGTTTGTGAAAAAAAAAAAAAAAAGTGCGGGCAGGTTTGAGGCCCCGTCCACACTGCGCAGGGAAAATTTGAAAACGGCTTTTTCGCATCACATGTTTTCCGTATACACTACGCTGGAGAAATTGGAAAACCCAAATATCACCGGTAATTTGGGTTTGTGTTTGAGGAAAACAGGGAACAGGGAACAGGGAACAGGGAACAGGGAAATCACGTGATTATCTTGATGTCACCGTTTTCGACAAGATCCGTTTGCCAAATGTTTCCGTCCACACGAAAATGAAAAGCCGGCGTTTTCAAATTCCTTCGGTTTGAAGAGCGTTTTCCAAAAGCTTCGTTTTTCGCAACGGATAAGCGAGGACGGCAGGCGTAAGCCATAGAAATAGAGCTGCCTTTTCAAATTTCTCCGCCGTAGTGTGGACGGGGCCTCATTCAATTTTAGATGTTAATAGCAATGTTTTTTAAGCAGAGAGGCGATGAAAATGATTTCATTAATGAGATATTGCCTTGATCAATTTGCAGCAATTTGCAATTAGCAATTTGCAATTAGTCTTCCTGTTAAGACGCGTTGAGATTCGGTTGGCTCAATGTTGTCTACGCACAGTTTAATAACTTTAACAGTAACTTTAGTTGCCTTACAGAAGTTAAAAGAGCATCTCTATTTTGTAGTCTATCCGGCTGAAATGTAGTCAATTGTCAGTCGCATTCTTGTTTTTGATTGTTACTCAGTAACGCGACTGTTAATTTGTGTTAATTTTTGATTTTTAATTTTTACTTTAACTCGACTGTTAATTTGCCGGAGGTTATTTGTGATCGTCTTCTTTTCACAACTGGCAATTTATTTCCTGTGTAAGTGGTCTCGCGTAATGGATGCCTTGTAAGTGACCTTCGACGATGGAGATGTGGTTGGTCGTGTTGTTCTTAATGCCGGTTTACACCCATAATGTCAATGAGGAGCAAGGTTAGAATGAGTTACTTTTTAACAAAGCTTCAACGATTTACGAAAATGTAAGACTGATAATTATACTGTACCGGCAGTCAAACCTGCATGAAGCGATAACTTTCTCTTTAGACGCAAATGTGAATTCCAGAATTCTGGGAATTCTACGGTGCTAAAAAGAATGCTACCTTTTCCTTTATTAAACGTCGACCGCACTAGAGAATAGTGATAAGTAAGTCAAAAGCAATGACCCGCGATCGATTTCGATTCTCATTAGTTTTTCTTCGTTGTTTTTAAATTTCGGCGCACTTGAAATCACATGATACTTTACAATGAAAACCTCTGTAACAAATCTACTTAGTGTGACTTTCCGCCTGGATCTTAGTGTGGTTCCCAAAAAAAAAAAGAAAAAAAAAAAGTGTTTCATACCTGCCGTTGGTTTCCAATTTGCAGTGGGAAATGTTTTCATTTTGCAAATTAATGTTCTCATCCATGACTCAAATAATTGCAGTGTAACGCTTTCCGATTTATGAAAACAAAACTGTTTGTCAATTTTGTTTGAAACAAAGAAATCCGATTTTGCATCGGATCTACTCGGGGAAATAGACGAAAACGATAGAGAAAATTTAATAAAAGCATTGAACTTTTCGGCTAAACAAATCTGTTTGTTAATTTTTTTAGACAAAGAAATCCGATTTTACACTGGATCTACTCGAGGAAATAGACGAGAACGGTAGAGAAAACTTAATAAACCCATTGAA